GGCAGCAGTCTTTCTAACAACAGTGTAGAATCCCTTATACTTCAGATCTAATTTATTCTGTTTTTCTGTCACCAAAATCATTACCGTGGTTCCTGCAACCAGATCTATCATTTTGTGACTTCCATCAAAGCGTTCCTTTTGCTTTTCTGTGACATGCTTTACGTGTTCAAACATGGCAGGTAGACTATCTCAGTCATTCTTTTAATTTTTTCTTGCAACTCTTTCTGAATCTGTTCAGCAGTTGCACTATCCTTTTCTTTACTAAAATCAACAAAGTCATTTGGATTCCTTCCAAACATTAACGAGAATGGTGTACTCTTAGTCCTAGCATTATACTTGCTATTCAAAAACAACTGCGCAGATGGCACCTTCTGATCCCAATCAGCGACATTACCAACTATTTGTTTTTTAATGGTGTTCACTGCCGACTGGACAGCTCTTTCACTTGCACCATTAGCTCTAGGATGGTACTGCGAAATCAACGCATGTTCAAAACCAACATTCTCTTTTATACATGTCATCAGCGAGTTCACAAACTCCCGTCCACAATCACTCTGCAACTTTCTCATCGGACCCCATGTACTAATGACGTCCAGTACTTGTAACGCAATCGTAGCTGCCCTTTTATCAGGTATGGCACGCAATACATAAAATTTGCTTGCGATGTCTATCATCACTAACAAGTACTCATTTCCTCTAGTCGATGTTGTAAATGGCCCAGCCAGATCTATTCCCCAACTGTCACCAGGAAGTGTTGCAGTCACAGGTCTTAAAGGATTGTAACCTTTTCTTGTGATATTATGACGTTGACACTGTATACACGATTGTATAAGATCATTTGCTTGACTCTTCAAGCTGGTCCAATAGATACCTTTTCTCTTTAAGGCATGTAGTATAGCTTCTACACCAAAATGACCTTTCAAATGTTCTTCAACTAATAACTTATTCCTTTCATTTTCTGTGGGAGGAGTAAAGTACTCACCACTCAAGATGTCTGGTAGCGGTTCCATAGTGACAGCACTATTTCTCATGATGGATCTAACCATACTATCCCCACCCAGTTCATTTGATAATGTTTCAGTCTCTTCAGATAAACGTGACAACGCATCAGGAAGCACATTCGAAACACCAGGCAAATGAACGATCTTAAAGTCATACTGTAAAATCGTGTCCATCCATGCGATCATCATCAGATTCGCAACACGTTGGGTGTGAAGATATGTCAATGCCTTGTGATCCGTGTACAAGGTAAAGTGAGAACCATAGACATACTTGTGAAAACGCTTGAGTGCAAATACTAACGCTAGTAATTCTCTTTTGGTCGCAGAATACTTTCTTTCACTTTGGGATAAGCTCTTAGCCACAAAAGAAATATATTTTTTCTTGCCATCCTTGACTTGATACAACACTGCACCAATACCAGTAAGAGATGCATCACAGCTGATACTAAAAGGAGAGTTCATATCTGGGTACGACAACACCAGATCACTCAAAAGTGCTTTTTTCAAGTTATTAAATGCAGTTTGATGCTTATTTGTCCATAAATGGGTAATCGACTTTTCATTTCTCAATGAATCTAGTGGCGACATAATGGAAGATACATTCGGAATCAACGTTCTAAAATAGTTGATCAACCCACAATAACTTTGGATATCTTTACCCGTCTTTGGTTGAGGAAATTCAAGAACATTAACAAGTTTTCTGCGGTCCATTGTAATTCCTTCAGGTGAAATATGAAAACCAAGCAAATAAATTTCTTTCTGAAAGAAATGACATTTTTTCGGATTCAACTTCAAATTGACCCTTGTTAATCTCTCAATGACTTGCTTCAAGTGTTCCTTGTGTTCCTCGAACGTTTTGCTTGCACAAACAATGTCATCCACAAAAAACCGTACAAAAGATAGTCCTTCCAAAGCTATACTCATAGTTCTTTGAAATTGTGAACTGACATGCTTTATACCAAACACTGTACCAATAGGTTTGTACTGTACACCACGCCATGTGAAACTAAGTTTGTGTGTGTCCTTTGGGTTCAACCTCAAAGAATTAAACGCAGATTTCAAATCCAGAGTGGAATAAATATTCGCACCCTTTAAATCTTCAAACAATTCACCAATCAATGGCAAAGGCATACGATCAATTGACTTCAACAGGCAATTAATTAATCTGGGATCATGGCAAACGCGATATCCAGTAATTTCTCCTTTACCGTTTGTCTTCTTGACAACAGTCAAAGGCGTATTCCATTGTGTGTTTGCAGACGCTCTTTCAATTATACCATTGTCCAGCCATTCTTTCACCTGTTCATCTACTACACCTTGCATCTTGTAAGGAATGGGATAAGGGCTTCTGAACGCCGTAGCATTTTCTGGAGTGTCCGGACATACAACACTTTCAGGTATAGTACAAAACGAACCCTTAGGAATATCTTGATTGTCTTTAATGAACGGTTGAATATAATCCATAGCATCCTCAAACTGTTTGGGACCTACAGCCGGATTATTTTCCTTTCGTTCATTTTCTCTCTCAATGGATTCAAGAAGATCACTCTTATTATTGAAGCGTCTATTGGCTTCTCTACGTTCCTCACTTGAATCAGCATCATCATATGATAAAGGTAAACCATAAATACCAATACCAAGAGAAGACATATAATCAGTACCAATACTGAAATCATACTCATGACTATTAGTTAAATTCATTACTTCAAACTCGCATTGAATAGTCTTACTATTGCAAGTTACACTGATCACACAAGTACCGATTCTTTTAATCTGGGTATTGCTATCAGCCAAACGAATAAAATACTTATGAACATTGTTTTTGTTCAACAAATCTTTATTAATGTGATTTATGTAACTAATGGCTATTCCATTCTTCAAGCAAAAATTCTTGTCCACCGAACTGAACGTGGCCCCACAGTCCAACAAGGAGATGGTTCTAATAGAATTATTTGCCAAAATAGAAAAGGTAATATTAGTGCTCATGTTCTTAAAATCTCTTTTAATAACCATGTCTTTAAGATTGTACTTACAATCTAATGCCATCTTGGCCAGAGCACTAGTGTTGTCTTGGTACTCTGACCAAGACAACGAGGGACTCCCCTCAACCACAGTGGAAGCTCTTGCTGGTCTACCAGCAGAGGAGCGGACTGCCATCCTTGACACCTTTGTCAAGTACTTCTCCCATTCTGGACAGGAGTGTCCCTTAACCCAGGGAGCCTTGCATGAGAAACAGATGCCATCCTTCATCGCCTTCTTGAAGTCCCATGCCTTCTTGGGAGACTGAGAACCACGCTCGCAAGAGAAAGACCTTTTCTTTCCCTTGTGGGAACCAGCAGAGAGAGAGGACGCACCATTGTGAGCAGCAAACGAACTCCAGGAGGACGCGGCAGTACCATTGGCAGGATTATGTAACAAAGCAGTGGAGTCACTTGTTGACACACTCACCAACGAGATGATGTCCTCAATCTTTGAGGGCATCTTGGTGCCATAGTTGGCTGACAAAGGAATGAGACAAGCTTCCTGGACTTCCGGACGCAGATTCCACCAGAAGCAGAGAACCAATTGAACACCATCGTCCAACGAGGCCTGGCGGCAGAACTTTTGGAACTTGGCACCAAAAGAACGAGCGGATTCTCCTTTGCCTTGTTTCATGCACCAGACACGGCCCATGTTCAGGAACTTACAGAACGGCATGTCATAGTGATCCAGAAGAATACTTTCCGCCTTCTTCCAGTTGTAGGCCTTGCCTTTGAGCTTGTCCTCAAACCAAGAACGTTCTTCCTTGTTCAAACAAGTGGGCAACAGACGTTCCCAGCAGGAATCCAAGGACAGAGAGTGTGCTTCCAGGACTGTGGTAAACTCCTGGCAGAAGTCATACACCGAATCGAACACATCGCGGTTGGCCTTCACCAGAGGACCCTCAGAACGAAGCTGGAGAAAAGGTAGGTTACTGGGAACCAGAGTGCTTCTCTTGTCATGAGGCTTAGACGCAGGAGCAGTGGAAGCCTTGAGGTCCTTGAGTATTTGCTCAGCCTCAGCAAACAGTACTTGTGCTTCCTTGGCACCCTTGGAAGCAGACTTGGCAGCAGTAGAGGTGGGATCCCTCTTGGAAACACCCAAGTAGTGGCCTAGAGCGGCATAGTAGTTGCCCTTCTTAGTGTTGAGGTCCTCCTCAGCAGAAGCCAGCAACATTTCCACGGTGGCCACAAGGTTGTTGTTAACTCTGACTCCAGAGTTACCCAAATAGATGCGAGGAGAATTGGCACCCTCATAACCAGAACGGCCAGCATCGGAACCAGAAGAACCTTCTTCAGAATCAAAGGCACCGTCCTCAGAACACAAGGGAGTCATCACGGTATCACCATCGTGGTCGGCAGAACCAGCAGCAGAAGGAGGAGGAATGACACCAGAGTTGACACGGGCGGTTTCTTCACCAGAAACGATAGTAGAGTTGACAGCGGATTGTTGAGACATTTCGAGAATTCAAAGTAAAAAATGTGGTATTTCAGGTACGAAACAATAGAAAAATAAAATATTTGATAATAGAGACGTATAGAAATACTTTGAGACTGTATATAAGTTGTCTTTATTCATAAATAAAAAGTGTCCCTTTTTATAAGAAAACACAATCTGCTCTTGTCATTACGTCTTAGTTTCTTAAGGCTTTCTTCCTTTACTATATTTGGTTATTAGAGTGTATTTACTGCTTAACTAGTGTCGGTGTTACAATTATGACATCAAGTCATAAATCATACTTCTTTAGCTCTTAGCTATTCTTTTCTCTTTTATACTAGAGCTTTAGGACTTCCTACTAAATTAGCTCCATATCGATCTGACACAGTTTACCTGGCAGTATGATATAATTATCTTAACAATCTTTAAGATATTATCTACAGTACTAACTGTAATAATTATTGGGCTGATTACTTAATCGTTTATATATATTTTATACTGACAAGATGATAGCTACTATGCTATCCCAATATGAATATGTTCTTATATGTGATAAATCCAACATCCGAGTGTCTGGATCACCACAGACCATCGAACACCATTTTTGACCTCCAGCCAATGCCTTTCTGAGGGGTTACTAGCACTTTCCCACTCCTCAGCATGCAACCTGTTCTCTATACCATCACGAAGCACCCACCGAGAGAAGTCAAACCCACAAAAGTCAACATTGACACCGTTTTCCAAGCAAGGGAAATGTCTGTTGCACTTGTAACATGCACATGTACTGTTGTGCGAGGTGAACCCACTTGTCTTTCTTGCTGCCAGGATGTCACAGGCCACCATCATCAATGTGGCACGGATGTGGACACCACTAGGACACTCAAAAGTTGGGATTGCCAGTCCCTCATACAATCTTATCAGATCATCTACCATAGGCTGGAGATAATGGTTTATCTCTTTGGATTTGGGTTCCTTCAGGCCAGGCATCAATCCTACGAGAAGTGTGTTCTCTGGCTTGTATCTTTCATTGCGAGGCAGATTGTTTACTACCAGGTATCACTGGAAAAATAGGGTAATTTCATCTGGATCAAATGTACTAAAAATGTAGATGATTGAGCCAATAACATCACAATTTTTGTGATATATCATTTTGAGCAATGATACGATATCATCTATGGTGCTGATGTGTATCATCATAACAATGGGTACACAAAAACCCAATGTAGAACGATTGTCAGTCCGCAAACTATGGAAACTGAATAAATATTGTAGTTACGCTTTACTCCTACTGAGTCTACCTCTTTATGTGTTATATTTTGAGGTCTATAAAGAGCTAGCGTCCCATATTATTATTTTTACTGGGGTTTTTTATTGGCGGCAGAAATGCTTTAAAAACTATCAAAGAAATGATTGTAGGTTTTTTACAATATAAAGAAATGATGATAGTTTGTTTTTTATACACACAAAAGCAATAAAACTACGTTTTTTTACAATGGAAAAGAGAAACAAAGCATGGGTAGATTTTTATAAACAAGCCTCTTTGGTTTGTTTATTTATTTTATTTTTATTTATTTTTTTGAAAAAAGATTGGGTTATACATTTTTTGTTCAATTATGTTTTATTTGATAGGAAAATCTTTTCTAAATAAAAATCTTAATTTTGCAACAGTTTTGATATTATAGCTATTATAATCGTTAATACTTCTTGCTCGCTATATATAATTTAAAGCCTTCTGGAAGTAGACATGGAATACATACTTTAATAGCAGAAATGCTATTAAAAAATGATTAATAGAAAAGAAGAATTAGTAAATGATTTAAATTGAAATTTCTTCATAAATACTTACAAGATGAAGAAGACTTGACATAAAATTGATATAAATATGTTTTTCAGAATTATCAAGACAATACCAGTAGTCTTTGAATAGAGATACATTCTAAAAATAAATAATTATTAATGTTGTGCGTAGTAAAGACGTATTTATTAAATATATTGTAGTTAACTTACTAAATATTACTGTTTATACGTCTTCATGCATAATATCAGACATAACTAACAAATCGTAATAAAAATAAATATATATTTATGAGTAAGACAAAAGAATAATCTGACTTTTTTTTAAGAAAAAAACTTACCATCATATTCGATTAAGAGATGATGAGACTTAATGGAAATGAGTAGCAATAACTAGATAAACAATATGATAAGTTTTGTGATGGTTGAAGTTGAAGAAGTTTTTAAGAGGAAGAATTGAAGATTTGAGATTAGAAACAAAGATTCGTGAGAACTTGTATAGGTTTTGTTTATTGAGAAAAGATTTTGTATCAAAGTTTGACCAGGTTCCTAAACTGAACTACTACTGCTATTTATATTATTTTGGATTGGAAAATTATATGACTGGGATCAGGTAATCGATCCTATCTGAGCCTTAATCAGAGCAACGTGATCTTGAGATAATTAATGTATGATTAATTATATAAATGTGTGTAGTCCTAATGAAGTATTAACATCGAAAGTAAATGTGTTTATGAGTTATAATTATGCTTATAATAATCCACTGATGTATTCCATATTATGGTGATATCATCATATGAAATATAATCACTATCATGCATGCTAAACCTGTGTGTTAAATAATAAAGTAATTGGTAAGCACCTTTGACTGGAATAGCTGAGGCCTTATATTATTTCCTTCAGACTTATTCTCAATTACAGCAGTAGTCAATACTCATTTACAACAATGAGTAACAGAGATCTGTAAGAGAATGATATCTTATCTTGATATATCAGACAGAATATAGCCAAACAAAGAGACACATATTTGGTATTGAGCTATAAAATAAAGAAAAAATTGTAAGTGAAATTGTAAAAACATAAGCAAAAGAGAAACAAAGAAAATATCAATAATAAATGTCATTAAAAGAAAAAAAAGAAAAAAAAAAGACTTGTCTTAAAATCCAGTTTGACCCTGATAAAATGCGGGGTGTAAAAAGTAATACTCCAAAAGAATATGACCACCATCATCTTGAAATACTACTTTGCGCCTCATTGAGTTAGAAAAGAAGTTGTCTAAATGTGGATCAAGCAGTTGGAAGATATGCTTAAATATCAAATGAAAGGTAGAGAGTTAATCTGCACCGCTTATCCTCTTTACTAGTATGTGAATTTTAAATATGATATAACGAGTGTAGTGAATTGTATAATATTAGTTGAAAATTATTAATATTTATTTTATTAACAGAAAATGACAAAGTGTATTCCTACTGCTCCCCGCCGACCCAACCTACGCATTAATGCTGTTCTTAATAGCACAAATGCAGGTGTTGTTGTTCCAATTGATACACCAACTCCAGAAGTAGCAGTTGACATAGCCTCTGAAGTTCAAGTCGCTGTGACCCCAATGGATCACGTCCTTACCTTGTTGGCAGCCAACAATGTGTTGATGCAATCCTTGCAACAAAATGCAAAAGGAGTGACTGATGCAATAACTCATTTGAAGAATGGTCTGGATTTGTCCAACAAGACAAATGAATTTTTGAAGAACTCGGTCCTTCAGCTCATGACTGAAAATGCCGAAATAAAAAAAGGCAATGACCAGCCAAAATTCCGTGATGCCTTCTGCTGTACCAGCAGATTCTTCTTCTTCCATGGATGATGATCTTGACCTTGGAGCGAAACATCATCCCTTGATTTCTGTAAGTAAATTGATAATAATAACATTACTGATTAATATATCTAATACTGTTTTTATAGCAACTTATCAATAGTTACATCAAGAAACCGAACTTTGTTAGCACAGACCCGCTCAAAGTTGCTGAGAATAATAATAGATCAGCATGGTCAATGACTGGCATGTATGGCAATAAGTACAACAAGACACTTGCACTGGCTCTCTTCAAGTACCTGAGACCTCAAAGATGTTGCACAAATGTGTCAAAGAGTATCATTATAAATATAATAAAGAATCACTACCAAAATCAAGTGCGAGTCTTCCGGACCTCAGCAGAGAAGATTATGGCTAGAAATAAAGCTGGAAGAAGACACAACAGAAAGAAGACTGTAAGTTTTAAAATAAAGTTAATTTACTATTGATTTAATGTTTTAATACAATATTCTTTGGTAGCTTCTTGACCATTGTATTATCACGTACCAGACATACACAGAGGCTATTCATGAGGGCATGAATCGATATGATTGCAGAAATATTCTTTCTATTGAGATGATGTCTGAAGGCAAGTCAGATGGAGATAACAAAGTGTGGGCATATCGTCCCAGCTGGAGAACTGATGAGGTAATGTTAAACATCTATTTATGTTTTAAAGAAAATAATAATACTTTATTAATACTTTTTATTCTTTAAACCAGCTCCAGACGTTTATTAGTATTATTGATGAACTTACTGTTATCCATTTGAAGAAAAATTCAGAAAGCTTGAAAAAGCGCATCCCTTATGAGAAAGAAGTGAGCATTCCCGAGAATTTGGCAGTCACTTTACCAGATTGGTGCTTTTCAAAATAAATCATTTTTTTCTTGCCAACTATTTTAGAGTTTTTTTTTCTACTTGTTTATGTTTACAGATTAGCATGATGTATACAGATGTGTGTATAGCATGCCAAGTACAAACAAAAATTTATAGAAATAATAAAAAATAAACGTGCAGCTATATATATTAGTCTGTATTAATTAATATTTCTTTTTTATATGTGTTTTATTTTTGTATTTGAATCTAAATATATATTTTTCGTGGCAAAGGAACTATACACATCTGAACTTCGCCTTCTAGACCAAGGTGCTCGCCTACTGCGACTGGATAGCAGATTCTATGCACTGGGAGAATGCTGTTCATGCTGTCATCTTCGAACCTCACCTCATTCACCTCAACTCCTTCTCCTGCTCTGGGCTGAAGTAAAACTTCCTTGTACCATCGTATATATGCAAATACATGCTAGCTTGCATGACCAGCAAACGAGTTTACAGCAGTATTGACAAAGAGGTACTGAATTTGGTCTGCGTACAACTTGGTACTTCTACCATCACTTGTCTCAAACAAGGCTTGCATGAACGACCTGCACTAATTCTTCGTTTTGCTCTTGTAGATTTGCCCAAGAAGATCGATTGATTCAAACTTCTGTATCCGATTGTTAACAAAATTATCGGAATGACCAGCCTGACGATAATGAACAAGAGTTTGATCATCGTATGTCTCACAATAGTATTCCAACAAATGCTCATACTTAGATTCATCCATAGAAATCTCCCCCTTTAGAGCTAAAGGAAGTGTGGAAGGGGGCAAAGGCTCGTTTCCCTTGATGATATCAAAGTTGATCTCAGGAGAATCAAGAAAAGCATTGATATCGAATTGGATTGAGGTGGCAGTGGAAGTGGAAGTGGCTATGGAATTGGCAGTGGATGCAGTGAGCTCAAGGATAATCGCCAAATGCTCAGGTCGAATTATTGGCAAAGTTTGGTGAATAAGATCTCCCTGGTATGCTTCTTCAAGATACTTCTTCATATATGTTCCCTCAAACCCATCTTTTCTATTTGTTGCATAGTTTTTCAAGATACCATTACATCTTTCGAAACTAAAAAGCCAATAGCCATAAACTGGGCAAAAGTTCAGTACAGTCTCTTGCAGATGAAGATGGAGATGCATGTTTGGCAAAAGGAACGGAGCTTTATACAACTTCTCGCACTCTCTGCAGAAAGCCTCCAAAGATTGATGGGCTTCATCAAGGTGAGCCATGGATATGCTTGGCATTGAGAGGTACTGGCATGCATTGACAAACGTTGTCCAGTTACCGAGATGAGCTTCAGGTAGACAACCACGCAGGAGAACAGGAGAGTACACCAAGCACCAAGACTTCCACTTGTCGGCCTTCATGAATGGGAAGTCATGCCCGATCTTTGTCCCTAATGGCGTGCAGTCCTCTGGCAGTACAAGCTTGTCAGCATCCAACTGCATTTTGGCCAAGTGTGCATCTGTGATG